TAGAAGGTGTGATGAGAGGGCACTGGTTGCATTCCTTATGGGCCATTTATAAATAGAATATTATTCAACTGTTAAAATAATGAGGCAGATAGGTACGTACTAATCTGAGATCATCTAGATATTTGGTCCAACAAAAAAGAACAAGGTGCAAAAGAATGCAGAGGGTGCTACCATTTGTGTTTTTTAAAGAGGGACCGTATGGAGTTCCACGTCTGGCATGACGGCTCGAGGAGGCTTGCAGACCCACTTGCCAGCAAAACTGGTGAAGATTATGAAAACAGAACAGAGCAACAAACCAACCATCTGAAGTCTTTGGGAATGGGCCTAAGGGCACATAGCAAATTAATAAATGTTTATTCACGATAATCTACTAAAATTTGGTAAGAATGGTGAGAATCAGTGACATTTGAACCAACACCTGCTTCTTCCCTGCCTCCTCCCAGCTCAGCAAAACAGAAACTCTGTTCCTAACTGGTAAACTGAGAACATAGGGTTCCCTCCCTACCCCCCACCCTGCCCCAGTTCCCAGTTGAAGGCTACCTTCATAGCCTTTCTTATCCTGCCTTCTGCTACCTGTTGCTGAGGCTAAGTTCTGGGTGAGCACAGCTAAGAGGTGGGGGCTCTCTTCTTCCGCCCGGCCCCCACTGGGGGCCTCTACCTTGGCTGTGGTGCTGCTGAGGATACTGGGGCCCTGACTGCCCTCCCCTTGCTCCTGGAGCACAGCTTCCACACTAAGAGGGCGAGCTGACGAGACCTGGGGCTGCTGCCCACCCCACTGAGGGCTCAGCTCCTAAAGTGGGGTCACTCAGAGAAGAACACCATGGTCCTCACCCCCAGTATCAGAGCCATGGCTCAGAGATTTTGGGGAGAAACAGGCTGTAGAACGGACAGCTCCAAATCTCTCCTCAAATGAACTATTTGCGACAGAGCATGGAGAGGTTCGAGCCTAAAAGTGCCCTCAAAAACTGGAGGTGGCGGTAAGAGGCCATTGGAAGGAGATTGATAGATTCATTGGAGATGTGAGTGAAACTCTAGGTGGGCTCGTTTGCCAGAGAGGAAGAGAAAGAGACAGCTGAGAAGAGCCCTCCTGGGGTCAGAACAAATCTCAAACTGACCTTGGGAACTAACCCTTCAAAGGATCCCTAATTTTTTCAGCCTCTGAAGAAATGTATGCCCCAGGATGCTGTTGGAAACAACAGAGGAATTACTGGGCGATTAGTGGAGCTTAACTGCTGAGACAGAGAACCTGCCAATAGCCTGGGGTCATCCAGGGGACTGTGGACATACCTCAGGCTGCATCCCCTGGGGCTCTGCGATGCAGGGAGGAGGAGAGAAATAGATATCACTAAAATAATCTAGCCAGTCACTAAACAAGAAGTAAAAGAAAGTATAATAACAATGTTGCACCAGACAATATTGATAAAGAGATAATAAATAAAAAAAAAAGAAATGGAAATTCTGGAGTTGCAAAGTACAACATCTGAGATGAAAAATTCTCTGGAGAGGCTCGACAGTAGATTTGGACTGGCAGAAGAAAGCGTCAGCAAACTTGAAGGTAGATTGGTAGAGATTATGCAATCTGAACCAGAGAGGGAAAAAAAATGAAGAAAAATCAACACAGCCTCAGAGAAATGTGGGGCATCATTAAGAACGCTAATATACATGTAATGGGAGTGCCAGAAGGAGAAGAGAGGAGAGAGAGAGAGAGGAGAAAAAAAAAATATTCAAAGAAATAATGGCTTAAATCCCAAATTTATTGAAAAACATTAATCTCTACACATCCAGGAAGCTTAATGAACTGTTCGTAGGAAACACGCAAGAATATCCACAAACAGACACATCATGGTAAAAATGCTGGATGCCAAAGACAGTGAGAAAATCTTGAAAGCAGCAAGAAAAAAACAACTTAGCACTTACGCGGGAGCCTAGTGAGATCAACAGCTGACTACTCACTGAAGAAACGGCAGCCAGAAGGCAGCGGGCTAACACATTCAAATTGCTCAAAGGAGAAAAACTGTCAATCAAAAATCCTATATCCAGGGGCTGGCCTGGTGGCACAGCGGTTAAGTTTGCACGTTCCGCTTCGGTGGCCCACCTGGGGTTTGCCAGTTTGGATCCCAGGTGCAGACCTATGCAGTGCTTATCAAGCCGTGCTGTGGCAGGCGTCCCACATATAAAAAGTAGAGGAAGATGGGCATGGATGTTAACTCAGGGCCAATCTTCCTCAGCAAAAAAAGAGGAGGATTGGTGGCAGTTGTTAGCTCAGGGCTAATCTTCCTCAAAAAAAAAAAAAAAATCCTATATCTAGTAAAGCTATCTTTCAAAAATGAAAGCAAAATAAGGATATTCTCAGATAAGTGAAAACTGAGAGGCTTTGTTGCTAGCAGACTTGCCTTATAAGAAATACTAAAGGAAGTTCTTCAGGCTGAAAGCGAGTGACCTCAGACAGTAATTGAAATACACATGAAAAATCAAGAAGCACGGATAAAGGTAATTATGTAACTATGAAAGAGAGTCTAAATGCATGTTTATTCTTTCTTCTCTTTAAGCCATATATTGAATAAATATCTATACCTATAAATTCTTCTTTCAAGTTTCACTGTATTGAATTTCCGTGTCATGAGGAATGACTCTACCTTTAAAGACTATGTGGACATGGAAACAAAAGCCCATTACAAAATAATATTTAAATGGAAACTAAATACATCAACACCAGCCCATTTTTCCTTCTAAGACAACTCTTGATACTCGGAGGCTAAGAGTCTTTGCTGCCTTGAACCAGTTGTGCAACCTGCTGAGAGAGCAGAACTCAGTTTAAAAGCAGAGATGGGAAGACGTGCTACACTCATCCTATTTTTTTGATCAGTGGCTGCCTAAAAACCGAAGGCAGGCAGTTGAATCCCATGGATTCCCCCCTTTGAGGTACTTCCTGGTGTAAAGGCTGCCTCACCTGTGACAGAATCTTGGCACCACCACCGTTCACACCCATTAGTCATTATGGGAGCAGAGCTGGCTGGATTCTCAGAGTGACAGCCGAAGTTCTCTGATTTACCATCAGAGGGAAGAGGCCCTCACCCAAGTCAGCAGACCCTTTAAAATGCAGGCCCTTATTTCATGCTTTGCCTCTCGGATGGCGGCAGGCTCAGCCTAAGGTGGCAGCGGCTGGGGCAAGGAAGACCGTCTCAGGTTTGTCAGAACTCACAGGGAAGGAAAGTTATCCTGGCCTGAATCCCTCACTTTCCAGATGAAAGGAAGCAGAGCCCTAAGGACCAAGGGGGAAGGCATTCCACACCAAGAGGAAACTTGTGATTTTTTTTTTTCTCTTTCGGCAGATCTTTAAATCTTGCAAGCCCAAACTTATTGCGTTTAGCACAATGGCAATACTAAATAAAGTAACCTCAAGGATCACTCAAAAAATAAATAAAATAAAAAGCCTGCAAAGGCACAGAAATTGGACTGCCTGGATTCAGATCTTGATTCTGTCACCCATTCAAACAAGCCACTTCACCTCTCTGCATCTTAATTTCCTTATCTGTAAAAGGAGAATCATAATAGAATCTGCTTCAGAAAGTTGTGAGTATTAAGTAAGGTAAGTGCAAAGCATTTTTTTCCCTAAGATTTTATTTTTCCTTATTCTCCCAAAGTCCCCTGGTACATAGTTGTGGGTCCTTCTAGTTGTGGCCTGTGGGACGCCGCCTCAGTGTGGCTTGATGAGCAGTGCTATGTCTGTGCCCAGGATTTGAACCGGCAAAACCCTCGGCCGCTGAAGCAGAGCGTGTGAACTTAACCACTCTGCCACAGGGCCGGCCCCGGTGCAAAGCATTTTATAACAGAGGCTGGCAAATAACAGACGCTCAGTAAACGTTAGTTCTCAATTTTATGCCATAAGAGGAAAACCCATTTCAAAGCCCGTTCCACAGAGGGGCAAACTCAAGCCCAGACAGGAGTAGAGACCTGCCTAGCATCCCACAGAAAATTCGGTGTCTTTTCTGATTTTCCTGGCTTTTGAGACCCAGGCCTGGGGTTTAACACAGGAAAGGCAGTACAGCGAGTCATGCCGCCCTTCTGCTCAAAACCCTTCCATGAATCCAACTAGGGTCTGTACCTGACCTAATAGCATTGGACCAATGTCAGGCTCCATGTTTTGACAATGTACGGTGGTTGCATAAGATATTATTGGGGAAAGCTGCGTGAACGTTACACAAGAATCTCTGTACCGTTTTTCCAACTCCTTGCGAGTATTAAACTATTTCAAAGCAAAAAGAGAAAGATTTATTGAGCACCTGCTGTGTGCCAGGCCTTGTTCTAGGAGCTGGGGCCTCAGCAGTGAAGATGACAAGTCCCCACTGTGGAGGAACTCACAGTGCAATAGGGCTGTTGGCAGAGCGGTTTAGTGCCAGGACCTCGGAGCCTGACAGCTTCCGTTTGAATCCTGGCTCTGCCACTTACTGGCTGTGGGCATGTGTGTAGCGTTTGGCACTATATAAATTCTGTTATTGTTATTATTATGTTTCTCCAGATCTCTCAGTTGTCCTCTCCTCTAGGAAGCCCTCTCTGATTTCCCCAGACTGGTTCTACCACCTCTTCTGGGATTTCATAGGTCCCTGTGCACCCCTCACCATCTCTCTGACCCCTGTGCCGGTCCCCGCCTGCTCCCCGAGCCCCGACCACCCTGGGCTGTCTTGTTTGGTGATGGGTATGTCTCCCCCACTGGACAGGGAGCCTGAGGATGGGACCAGGGCTTTCCTGATCAGGGCTCTGTCCCCAGCATCACCCAGCACAGGGCGGTGCCCGCAGCAGGCAGTCGATAACCAGATGCTGAACGCATGAATGTGAAGGGCAGCGAGGGGACCACGGGGGCAGTCTGTGTGTTCCTTACCCTGGTCATGGCATGGGGATCCTCGGGCGACATCTGGGGGTGCCGCTCCATCCCCGGGCCTGAGTGATAGAACCCGCGCGCGAGTGGAACCCTGTGTAACAGTGCCCCCTTGTGGTCGCCCCCCGTCCTAGAACCCTGGCGCGGGTGAGGCTCCCCCTGCCCAAGCGAGGAAGGCGGGGCGGGATCCCAACCCGGGTCACCCCGGGCCCCCGGCGCCCATGAACAACCAGGCGCGGGCCCAAGCCCCCTCCCTGGCCCGGACCTCCGTGTCGGTCCGGGCTTCGACTCCGGTCAGGACCTCGATCCCAGTTCGGAACTTGACTCCCGTCGGGACCTTGACCCTGTCTCAGACCCCAACTCCCGTCCGGGCCTCGACTCCGTCTCGGACTCCGACTCCGGTCCGGGCCTCGACCCCGGTCCGGCCCGCGACTCCGGTCGGGACCTCGACCCCGGTCCGGCCCCCGACTCCGGTTCGGGCCTCGACCCCCAGCCGGACCCCGACTCCGGTCTGGCCCCCGACCCTGGTCCGGATCCCAACCCCAACCCCAACCTCATCCTCGGTCGCTGCCGCGAACTCCGCCCTACCTGTGGATCCGCCCCCAGAACCTGCTCCAGGGCCCACTTTGTCACCCGATAAAGACCCTGCGCCCACAACGCCGAGTGTGAAGCATGTCCCATCAGTCGCCAATGGGTTCGGGCCCACCCAGGAGCCCCTTCCTGCTCCCCCTCCATCGGCCACTGATTTGCTGGGGCCCACCCCGAGCGCAGACCCATCCACCACCAAGTGGACAGATCCCAATTCTGGACCTATCGTGCCCATCCTGGGGACCCTCCCGACGGCCACACCGATTCCTACCAACACCTTCGCCTCCACCAGTGAGAACTTCCAAGTGGACAACAAGATCACGATTCGAGTGATCTACTGGTGAGGGGCCGTCCCCACCCCACCGCCTTTCTCCCCCTGGGGACAGGGCTGGACCGAGTACGTGCTGGGGTCTAGGGCAGGTGAGCGGAGGGAGTCTTGATACCCAGGTTGGAATCGTGGCTCCACCCATCATTCTCTTTGGGACTAGAGAGCTCTGGGTTCTAATTCCTGCTCTCAGCTTCATCCCTTCACTCTCATTCATTCATTCATTCATTCATTCAGAAGCCACTTGCGTTCCTCCGTAGGGACGCTAGGACGGAGCCCCCTGAGGGAGGACGGGGTGGGGGAGCTTCGGACTGGGTGGTCAGGGGCCGCCTTTCTCAGGAGGTGGCGCTGGAGCTGCCACACTTGTCATGAGGGGGAGGAGGCTGCGAAGGGAAGGGCTGGGGTGGGGGAGGGGATCAAGGCAGCAAGGGGGAGGGGCTGGCAAGTGCAAAGGTCAGAGGAGGCTGGCCTCTGTTCTCATTTGTGAGCCCAGCTGGGTCTCTCTCTCTGTCAAGGACAACAGCAACACATGACCTTCCTTGACTTCCCTGAGACCTAAGGCTGAAGGTGCCCAGGGAGGGACCTTTGTCTGCCCCCAACCCTGTGCCTCTTGCCTGTTCTAGAAGGTCTGCTCCCCCTCACCTCTCCTCGTCTCACTTTTTCCGTCTTTTCTCTGTCCAGGCCATCTCTCCCATTCTCTGTCTGTCTCCCCAACCCACTGTCTCTTTTCCTTTCCTCTTGCTGTGCATGTCTCTTTCTCCTTCTCCTGTCTCTGTTTCCCCATCCTCTGCCCCTTCTCTGCCCATTTCCTCCTTTCTTTCTTTCTTTTTTTTTTGGAGGAAGATTAGCCCTGAGCTAACTACTGCCAATCCTCCTCTTTTTGCTGAGGAAGACCGGCCCTGAGTTAATATCTGTGCCCATCTTCCTCTACTTTATATGTGGGACGCGTACCACAGCATGGCTTTTGCCAAGCTGTGCCATGTCTGCACCTGGGATCCAAACCGGCGAACACCGGGCCACCGAGAAGCAGAATGTGTGCACTTAACCACTGCGCCACTGGGCCGACCCCCATCTCCTCCTTTCTATCTGTTTCTCTGGCTCCACAGATTCCTTATTTCATTCATTCAACTCTCATTAAGCACCTACTATGTGCCAGGCCCTGTTCTTGGCTTCAGGGACCCAGCAGTGAAGGAGACAGAGATCCTCGTCCTTGCGGCGCTGACATTCTGATGTGCAGGGGCAGGAATGAACAACACACGGCACACATAGTAAATTGGCTATCTTAGAAGATGACCAGTGCTGTGGACACAAGGCAGCTTAGGGGGGTGGGTCACAGTTTCAGCTGGGGGAGTCAGGAAGGCCTCGCTGAGAAGGTGATATCCAAGCAAAGACCTGAAGGAGGGGAGAGGAGGAGCCACGGAGATACCAAGGACACAGCCTTCTGCAGTGGGAATAGCCAGTGCAAAGGCCCTGAGGCAAGCCATGCCTGGAGTGTTGGAAGAAGAGCTAGGAGGTCCCTGTGGCTGGAGCAGACTGGTCCAGGAGGAGATGGGGAGGAGATGGGGCCGCGAGGTGATGGGGGCAGGTCCTTCGGGGGCTGTGGGCCATGGCGAGGACTGTGGGGATTTGCCCTGAGTGAGATGGCGCTATGGGAGGGTTCTGAGCCGGAGGAACGTGAGCTGACTCGGGGGTTCACGGGGTCCCTCTGGGCCTGGGGGATACTGATGCCGTGTCTTCCCTCTGTCTCTCTCTGCCTCCCTCCTCCTGCCCTTGGCTTCCAGCGGCCTCTGAAGCTATGGCCTTCGGGTGAGTAGTTCTGGCTTTGCAGGTGGGAGGCGTGTAGGACATGAGGTCTGAAGGAGTTCCTGTCCCTCCCCCCCTGCCCTCCCAAGTCCGGCGACCCCGTGACCCTGCGATCCCGGGACCACATGATCTCATCTCCTCCCCACAGTACATTCTGCTGAGAAAGAGTCTGGACCAGCAATTCCCAAACCGTCTAGTCTTTGTGAGTTTGCCTGAGGCGTCGGGGGGCAGCCAGGGTGCTGAGACCCCCGAGGGGCCTGGGGGGAGCTCTCAGCCTCCCCCCACCCCTAACCTTCCCTCCCCAGGAGGAGGACGTAGGCGCCCAGGCTTCGGGGGAGTTTGAAGTGTTTGTCGAAGGGAAACTGGTCCATTCGAAGAAGGTGATTCTGAGCAAGGGTTTCGGGCGCGGAGGGAGGGTGGTGCCGGGGCCCTGGAGGTGGGGGACACTCACGTCGGTGTTCCTTCCCTCTGTGCCCAGAAAGGCGATGGCTTTGTGGATGAGGCCAGGCTGCGGAAAATCGTGAGCGCTATCAATGAGGAGATCAAGAGAAGGTAGCAGGCACCTGGTAGGCCGGAGGTGAGGTGGGAGGGGTGGAGGCTGGGCTGGGGGGGTGGGGGTGGGCAGGGGGCTGGGCACTGTCTTGGAATCAAAGACACCCGAGCCCCCATCCTAGCTCAGTCAGTCCTCACTGTTCTTACTGGGACAAGTCATCTGCAAGCTTTGCTGAGCCTCAGTTTCCCCACCTGTCAGATGGGGTTGTTGAGATGATTCTCGAGACGCCTCATCAGAGCTAATAAATAGTGCCTTGGCCCAGAGGAGGGCTCAGGGAATGTCAATGATAATTTTTTTTTTAAAAGAGCTTTAGATTTCTCTTTTTTTAGTTTTTAGTTGTAAACCTGTGCTACCCAAGAACAGCATGTGTCTTTTCCATTGAAAATTGATACTTAAAATTAAATATGTTAAAGATGCATTCATTAGTCACGCTAGCCACCTGTGGCTGCTACATTGCACAGTGCAGACGCAGAACGTGGGATCACTGCAGAAAATTCTAGGCTAACTTTGTCTGAAGCTATTAAAGGACATGCATGATAATTTACTTGCCTCCCATCCTGGATTGTTCAAACCACTTAGCGTACACACATCCCCAAGCTGCTGCTTACTAGGTGGCAGGCACTGTCCTAACGCTTCCCGTGGATTACGACGCACTATTATTTTTATGGTGCTGTCATCACTATTACTATTTAAAATTGTTTTCTCTCTTCTCTCTCCATCTCAGGAGCCTCGGTGAGATGACGAGAAGGGCTGAAATGTTGCCAAGTCAGGTCCTTTTCTGATGGCGGCTGGGGCTGAGGTGGGTTCCGGGAGGGGCCAAGAGGGAAATACATACAGAGTCTGCCTCCCTGAGTTCTGGTCTCGCTGTGGCTGCTGTCGCCACCCTCAATCCTGAGGTCTGTGGAAGTCGCCTGCTCCATCCTTCCAGCATCTCCAACATTTGGCCCTGGGTGTGGGGAGGGGAGGCCTGCTGTGAACATAAGTCTAGCCCTGTTGCTCCCAGCCTTGCTCCTGGTGGTCTAGCCTCCACTCTTCATGCTGTTGAGGTCGGTTTCTTTCTCTTGTGGCTTCTTCCTTTCCCATGCCCTGGTTTGGGATACATTTTGAAAACTTCCCATCTTACTGGCATTTTTAGGGATTAAGACAGAAATAGGGATTGTGGCAAGTCCCAAACCCTTGACATCCCAGACTTCACTGCATGACAGAACCACCTTCCAAAACCCACAGGTCTTAGAATCCCAGCGTGGGGCGGTGTCTCGAGGACCTGGGGGAGGGCCATCTGTGCATTCAGTGGACATTCATGGGCCCCTATTCTGCACCTGGCACTGTGGGGTCACTGGGCGCGTGCCAGGAGGTCTGGGGCAAGGCATGGGCATCAGACTTTTACCACGTCTGACTGAATCACGGCTCCAGGAGTTGAACTCCCTTTCCGACTCTCCTCCCCTCCCCAAGGCTGGAGGTTGGGTGTAGAGACCGTGCTGGAATCACAGGGTTTAGGGCCCCCATCCTCTAGGCACACTGTCGGTCCTTCTGGTGTAGCTCCCACCCCCCACCCCATCTGAGTCATCTCATTAGCGGGAATCATCTAGGGTCCCACTGCCAGTCACCTCATCAGCAGAAACCATCAGGGCCCATCACGAATAACCAAGACGCTTCTGTCGCTGGGAAATTACGAGTTCAGAGGTTACCTCCAGAAGTCAGGGCAAAGGCCAGACCTCTTTCTGCGTAAAGCTAATTTTTCACTACACAGCAGGTTTGAAGGAGTCTCCACAGGGACAAGGTGAGTGGCAGGGACCTGGGGGGGCCCCGGAGGAGGCGTCACCAGTGCAGGGCAGGGACGGCGGCTGTGGCAGAGTGAGGTGGGACAGAGAGGGGCTGGAGAAGGCGGAGGAGCAGGCCCTGGAGCTCCTTGTCCCTGCAACGCACAGAGTTCCTGTCTCTGGCTTAAATCCTCACAACTTGAGCTGTGTGTGTCCTTGGGAGGCGGTGTGGCAGATGGGCTCCACCTCGGACTAGCTGAATGGCCCTGATGGGTCACAGAAGCTCCTGGCACCTCTGGCTGTTCCCTCACCTGGAACACAGAGATGCTAAGAGGACCCAGGGGCCGGGCACCGAGAGGGTGAGAGGAGTCAGCCCGTGTAGACACTCGGAACAGTGAGGCCCAGGAGGTGCTAAACGATCTTCTTCTTTTCTCTACATTAGAGAAGAGAGTCACGAGTCACTTGACCTAGGTCACACAGCTGGGGTGGACTAAGATTCCAACCCAGCCCGTCTGTCTGCAGAGCCCGAGTTTTCCCACCGCACTCTGTAGCCCCGGACGAGCAGAAGAGGAAGGCAGAGTTCAGGATTGGGGTTTCAGTGTTTTCTCCTGCTGTCCGCGACTTCACACCCAGACAAGGGGTGGCAACCATGAGAGACACCTCACGGCAGTTGTCCACCAAATCATTCTTTTTTAAATTTTAATTTAGTTTTATTATTTTTTTTGAGGAAGATTAGCCCTGAGCTAACATCTGCTGCCAATCCTCCTCTTTTTGCAGAGGAAGACTGGCCCTGAGCTAATATCCATGCCCATCTTCCTCTACTTTATATGTGGGACGCCTACCATAGCATGGCGTGCCAAGCAGTGCCGTGTCCGCGCCAGGCATCTGAACCGGCGAACGCAGGGCCGCCAAAGCGGAACGTGCGCACTTAACCACTGCGCCACTGGGCTGGCCCTCATTCTTTTTTTTTTTTTTAAAGTTTTTACTTTTCCTCCTTCTCCCCAAAGCCCCCCAGTACATAGTTGTATGTTATAGTTGTGGATCCTTCTAGTTGTGGCACATGGGACGCCGCCTCAGCATGGCTTGATGAGTGGGGATAAGTCCATGCCCAGGATTCAAACCGGTGAAACCCTGGACCACCCAAGCAGAGCGCGAGAACCTAACCACTTGGCCACGTGGCTGGCCCGGCCAAATCATTCTTTTACGCATTCCCCCACTTTCACTTGTTTGCCTCATGCTCCATCAGCAATGAGATATCAGCTCAAAGAAGATGCCCTCACTCCTCTCCACTCTTGACTTATCTGTCACCTTCCAGGTGACATCAGCACTCTGAGCTTAGCATCTCCATCTGCAGAATGAAGACAAAGACTTGGCCATCCTAGCTGGGGCAGAGACCCCTAAGTGTCCCTCAATATCTATCCTCTTCTACTTCCTTCAAAATAGTCCCCAGCTAAAGACTACATTTCCCAGCCTCCTTTGCAGCTAGGTTGTGGCCACATGACTAAGTTTTGGCCAATAGGATATGAGCAAAAATAATGTGAGCAGCTTTTGGGTTGTGCCCTTTAAGGAAGGGGTGTCGTCTGTCTTGCCCTCTGGAATATGGATTTGATGGTGAGCCATTTTGATTATGAGACAGGGAATGACTCAACAGGGGTTGAGTAGGGACGATGGAACAACAACAGGGAAGGAGTCTGGGCTCCTGGTCGAGCTGCCAGAAATCACCTGTCAACAGACTGTTACAGGAGGGAAAAGTAAACTTCCTTCTTGCTTAAGCTGCTGTTATTTTGGGTCTCTGTCACATGCTGTCAAGCCCAAGTCCTAACAAATACGCCAGGATTGGGAGGGTGTAACTCACTGAGTGAGAGCAGTCAGTGAGCGAAAGGGTCTGACTGTAGATTTTTTACTATATCATAAGATAAAAAATAAGAAATCATAATAAGATAACAAATGCTTTAATGAAAGTTTCTATGGTAGGCAGAATTCTAAGGTGACCCCCCCCATGACCCACACTTTTGTATAATCCTGTTCCCTTGAGTGTGGGTGGACATATGAATATGATGGGATATCGCTCCCAGGACCATGTCACGTTATATGACAAAAAGGATTTTGCACTGACTCTGAGTCAGTCAAATGAGAGATTATCCTGAGTGGGCCTGATCTAATCAGGTGATCTTTTAAGGTGTCCCTTAAAAGAGACAAGAAGCAGCAGAAGAAATTCTCCTGCTTGCCTTGAAGAAGTTGAGAGAAGTTCTGCCATGTTGTGAGAAGGCCAATTGGCTGGGTCTTGGGGACAACCTCTAGGAGCTGAGAGTGACCCCCAGCTGACAGCCAGCAAGAAAATGGGGACCTCAGTCCTACAACTTCAGGGAACCGAGTTCTGCCCACAACAGGAATAAATGTGGAAACAGTAACAAGTATCGTACATATGAATCCAAATCTATCCATGATCACTTTGAAGGTTAATGGTCTAAATGCAACAGTGAAAGACAGAAACTGTCAGAGTGACTAAAAAAACAAGACCCAACCATATGTTGTCTATAAGAAACCCACTTTAAATATAAAGATATATGGGTTAAAAGTAAATGGCTGGAGAAAGATATGTTATGCTAACACTAATCAAAAGAAAGCAGGAGTAGCTATATTAATTTCAGCAGAAGAGACTTCAGAGAAAGAAAATTTATCAGGGGGTAAAGAGGGGCGTTGCATAAGGTTAAAGGGGTCAATTCTTCATGAAGACATAACCATCTTTAATATGTACTTGCCTAACAACAGAGCATCAAAATACATGAGGCAAAAACTGATGAAACTACAAGGAGGAATAGATGAATTTGCTATTTTAGTTGAAGACTGCAACACCTGTCAATGAGAAATGGCTAGACCACCAGTCAGAAAATCAATAAGGATCGTTGAACTGATGATCATTTCTTTTTCCTTTTTCTCCCCAAAGCCCCCCGGTACATAGTTGTATATTCTTTGTTGTGGGTCCTTCTAGTTGTGGCATGTGGGACGCTGCCTCAGCGTGGTTTGATGAGCAGTGCCATGTCCGCACCCAGGATTCGAACCAACGAAACACTGGGCCGCCTGCAGTGGAGCGCGAGAACTTAACCGCTCGGCTACGGGGCCAGCCCCATGAACTGATGATCATTGAACAATATCACCAATCAATTGGATGTGATAGACATCTGCAGACTACTCAATCCAACGAGAGCAGAGTACACGTTCTTCTCAAGCTCACATGGAACATTCCCAAGATAGACCACATTCTGGGCCATGAAACACACCTTAATAGTTAAAAGAATAGAAATCATACAATGTCTGTCCTCAGACAATAGAATTAAACTAAAAATCAATAACAGGAAGATAGCTGGGAAACCCCAAATACTTGGGGAGATTAAATAACTCACTCTAAATAACACCTGGGTCAAAGAAGAAATCCGAAGAGAAATTAACAAATATTTTGAACTAAATGAAAATGAAAACACAGCTTATCAAAATTTGTGGGATGCAGTGAAAGCAGTGCTGAGAGGGAAATTCGTAGCATTGAATGTATCTATTAGAAAAGAAGAAAGATCTAAAATCAATCACCTAAGCTTCGACCTTAGGAAACTAGAAAAAGATGAGCAAATTAAATCCAAAGTAAGCAGAAGAAAAGAAAAAATAAGAATTAGAACAGAAATCATGAGATTGAAAACAAGAAATCAATAGAGAAAAATCAATGAAACCAAAAGCTGGTTCTCTGAAAAGATAAATAAAATTGATAAGCCTCTAGCCAGGCTAACCAAGAAAAAAAGAGAGAAGACACAAATTGTAAATATCAGAAATGAAAGAGGGGACATCACTATAGACCCTATCCTATGGACATCCAGTGGAATATTACTTGACCATAAAAAAGAATGAAGTGTATGCCATGACATGGATGAATCTTGAAAATATTATGCTAAATGGAAGAAGATAGACACAAGAGGCCACATACTGTAGATTCCATTTATATGAAATGTCTAAAATAGGTGAATCCATAGAGATAGAAAGTCGAGACTGCTACTGTGGGTATGGGGTTGCTTCCTGGAGTGATGAGGATGTTCTAAATTCAGA